AGGCGAATGCGAGGACGGACATCTAGTGTGAGCTCTAGCTAGTGAGCTCATCGCTACTATATACAGCGAGTCAGGAGCCGCTGCTTCACACAACAGCACAACCCCGACCCAGATCGCACACACGGGCAGCCGAGCACGGGCAGGCAGACAGAGGTCGACTAGTCAGGGCCGACTCCCACGGACGGCGAGCGCGACACCTCTTCCATCTCCTCTTCCATCTCCTCCTCCTCCTCCCTCCTCTTCCACCTCCATCTCCTCTTCCTCTTCCTTCATCTCCTCCCTTGCCACACCACCTTCTCCTACTCTTCCTCCCTCGCCACCACCATGCCTCGGAAGTGTCTCGAGCTTTGCACCCGCCCCTAGGCGCGAGCCCTAGGCTCCAACGCTGGCGCAAGCTGGGCTTCACCACTACCCCTGCCTCCTTCCCCTCTCCGCACGCACGGGTCTCCCCTAGGTTGTCGTCGCCATCAACCGCTTCCACACCGACACCGACGCTGAGGTGGAGACGGTGGCGCGCGTGGCGCGCGAGGCGCCGCCGCCGCCGCCCGCGAGTCCACCCGCCCGCGTGTTCTTCACCTTGCCTTGGCTCCCCGCGCGCGCTACAGGGCGGTGCGTTCGACGCCGTCGCCGCCGACCATTTTGCGAAGGGTGGCGCCGGCGCCGTCGAGCTTGGCCGCGCCGTGATGGCCGCGTGCGCCGCCACGTCGCCTCGAGAGTTCCGGCACATCTACGACGCAAAGGCGCAGGGCGTTAAGGACAAGATCGAGACGATCGTGCGCGAGGTCTACGGCGGCGCGGGCGCAAAGTACAGCCCGGCGGCGGAGGCGCGCATCGCGAGGTATGAGGCGGACCCGGCGTTGCGCTCGCTGCCGATATGCATGTCCAAGACGCAGTACTCGCTCTCCGACGACCCCAAGGCGCTCGGCGCGCCCAGCGGCTTCACGGTCACTGTGAAGGCGCATCTGTCTGCACGCGGCGCTCGCAGCGTGCGACGGCTCTGTTCACGGCGGTCTGTGCTGAACAGGATGCCTACGTCTCGGCCGGGGCCGGCTTCATCGTCGTCTCGCTCGGCACAATCTCCTTCATCCCCGGCCTTCCCGTCAAGCCCGCCTACTACAAGATCGATGTCGACCTCTCGTCGGGCAGCCCTCGGGTGGTCGGCCTCTCTTAGCCGGTTAGCCGGCCGGCCTCGCTTTGACGCGGCGCGCTGAGCTCACCGTGCGCGCTCCTGCTGGCGGCGAAGGCATGGGTGGGCTTCCATGCGGAATCACACGCGCGCGGCGGCAAGTAGCGCTCCACCTGTGTGCAGCGGAGACCCGCGGCGCCGGCGGATCCCCGTGTCTTCCCCTTCCGCACCAGGCGCGCGCGGAGCGGTGGGGGAGGACGCCCTGGCGGAAATTTTTGTTTTCACGTTTCGTTTCACGTTCATGTGGCCTCAAGCCTCCACACCCCCGCCGCCCGCAACTACCTGGGCGCATGCGCCTCACATATCTCGCCAGAGCATAAGCTCTTGGTGTGCCACGAGACGAGTTTTTCGCCATCGCCGCGAGCAGCAAGCCGCCCGCCGCAACAGCCGGAGTTGCATCGCCACGGCACTGACTGCGCCGCGGTCCCGCCCCCGTCGACGAAGCTCCCCCCGCGGAAGACCGCGGTCCGCGCGTAGCGACGCCTTGACGATCGAGATGAGCGCGCTCGAGGCTCGCCCACCTACTGCCCCTGAGAGTTGGTTACGAGTGGGATCGGCTCCCCCCCTTGGGATCAAAGCTTCCACGACCTCGCACCCAACATCACAGGCGGGATCAGAGAGAGACTCCACACCGGACACCGCCCGGGCACAGACCCCCTACCCGTCGGATCGCACAGGGCCCCCTCGGAGCAGCAATCGTGCTCTGTACTGCTACGCATATGCAAGGAGGCCCATGTGCATACGCATCACATTACGCCCTCTCGGGAATACGTAAACTCGGTGCGTGTGCGTCACTTGCCAGTCCAAATGCGTCGCATTACGCAGCCCGTCGAACGCCTCCCCCTTCAAAAATAAATAAAAAACGTCAATACATACATCGATATACACGTATTCATCGCGTGCGTGACGGTGCGATGGCCCTGTGGTTGCCTCATACGTACCACGTGTCACGTATACGGATTATGGATCTCCGCCGGTGCGCCGCGGCCCGCGGGGGGGCGGGGCGTCTTCGACGTATCACGTATCCGCATTACGCATACGTCCTTTTCACCGCAAAGCTTTGCCCGGGGGACGGTGCAATGGCCCGCGCGGCGGGTGCCTACGTACCACGTGTCACGTTTACGGATTACGTATATCTCGCCCCGCGCGCCCCCGAGCCATCCCCCCCCCCTGGCTTACGTATCACGCATACGCATCCCCCGCCGCCCCCTTCCCCGCCGCCCTTTCTATCACCGCCTCCGCCCTCGCCAACTCCTTCATTGCCGCCTCCCCTACCGCCCCCTCCCTCGCTTCCCTGCCTCCC